AACAGCTGGTAGTTTCGAACTGCTGACCTTGAGGTTCGCAGCCCGATTGGTAACCGATATGAGGTTACTGAAAATACCTAGACTTCGGTCAGATGCACCTTAGGGCTCAGAGAAAGTGGGCTTTCACTATGCAGCCTTAACAGGGTGTGATGGGAGGTGGGCTTTCACAATGGAGCCTTAACAGGGTGTGGTGGGAGGTGGGCTTTCACAACCTAGCCTTTACAGGGTGTGGTGAGAAGTGGTTGAAAAGCAAGCCCCAGGAAGAGATCTAAATGCCTGACAGGGGCGGGGCCTACACGTGGGGGCGTGATCGTTGGCAGGAGGTGCTGGAGGTGGGGGTGGCTCCCTGGGCGTTGACCCTGCCGGGGGCGGGGCTTCCGGGCGGTGTTCCTGAGGCTGGGGCGTGGCCCCAGGAGGGGGGTGTGGTCTCCGAGGTGGAACCCCTCCAGGACGGAGGCGGGGCCCCAGGGGCTGGGATCGGGGCCCCAGGGCGGGGCGGGGAGAGGTTGAGGCGGCGCCTGCGCACTATTGTCCGGTGGCGGAAGCTTGGGGTCTGAACCGTGGATTGGGAACCCCGGGACTGGTGGAGGCGCGGGCTCTGGCACGGCGGTCAGGGTGAGGCTTCCGCGCCGGACCGCTGGACATTGCAGCCGCAGAGGTTCCCTTGTGTCGCCGGGCGTTTGCACTGGACTCGGATCTTCGAGTGCGTAGTGGGAGCCACGGGATCCTAGAGAGGAACACACGGAGCAGGGTGCATAGGATCCCCCTGTGGAACGCTTAAGAGAGGGAACATGGGGGACGCACAGGAGCGGAGCGCACGGGGTCCTCCATGGGGGTGCTCTGGAGCGGGGCGCATGGGGGGTCCCTCAGGGATATTCAAAGTAGCGGGATGCACGGCGTCCCCCAGGAGCGGAGCGCACCGGGTCCTCCGGGGAGACGCTCTGGAGCGGAGCACATGGGACTCCCTAGGGGGCTGCACAGGAGCAGGGTACGTGGGGTCCCCCAGGGACACGCACAGGAGCAGAAGACACAGGAGCTCCCCAGGGAGACGCTCTGTGGGGCGCACAGGGGACCTTAGCAGCGCTAAGTGGCAGGGTGCAGGGGTCCCCCAGAGGGACACATGAAGGTGGGGATTGTCATTCTAAGTCACCTGCCTCTTTGTAGGATGGTCTTATTAGTAGGTGGTAGTGGTTATGGGCCGTGGAGTCGGTTCCGACTCATAGCGACCCTGTACAGGGTTTCTGAGGCTGGAAATCATTACGGGAGGAGAAAGCCTCATCTTTCTCCCGCGGAACATCTGGTAGTTTCGAATTGCCGACCTTGTGGTTTGCAGCCACTATGCTACCAGAGCCCCTTTACTGACTGGCAATGAACAGCTGACCTGCCTTGGGCTTCACTGCACCCTCTGGCACCGCCGGGACCCCCTTACTGCCTTACACTTGGGTGACCTTCCCTACTTCCCTTTTGCTTCGTAAAAGCTAAGCGGAGACTGCGGAGGCTGCCTTCAGACCCTTTCCCTCCTTGGCCCTTGAGCCACATCAGGTCACCCCAGGTCTAGGCAGTGTCCTTAGGGTGGAAGCTGCCACTGTCCTGTGTGATGTTTGTAAAACGTACTCACTGAAGACAATTTATAGAATGCTGAAAGATGTCCCGGGACATTATATTTTCAAGAAAACTGAAAACTTGGTGTTTGAAATCTTGGTATCGTGCGCACTGTTTAGGGTCTGGGTATCGTACACATTGTGATATTATCTCTTCTCACTTTTCAGCACAATGAAGCCCAAAGTATGTCACAACGCCTTCCTCTGCTGCCTGGTACTCTATTCCCTGTGCACTGCAGACCTCTTACTGAACACGTGAGTACTTCCTAAAAAGTGTAATTCTGAACATAGGTGTGAGTGTCTCTGTCCCAGGTCATTCAACACAGCAACTCCTGGAGTCTGTGGTTTTCCTTATACGCTAAGAAGACGTTTGAACTGAGGCCACCTTCTATACGGGAGAGTAGCGTAGATCAGCATTTCTAACCCATCAGTTGCTTGGCAGGAGAAAGATGCTGTTCTTAAGTACCGCAGAGTCAGTTCCGACTTGTGGCGACCCCGCACAGGGTTTCCGAGGCTGTAAATCTTTACGGGAGCAGAAAGCCTCATCTTTCTCCCACGGAACGGCTGGTAGTTTTGAACTACCAACCTTGAGGTTCACAGCCTGATTCGTAACCACTACGCTACCAGAGCTCCTGGCAAGATTGACAGCCTCCATAACCTTGTGGGGTGGTTAGGTTGCTAGGAATCGGAATCAGCTCAGCAGTAATGAGTGTTTTGTTTTAATGGGAACACCTGGGTTCGATTCCTGGCTAGTACACCTCATGTCCAGGTACCATCCCTTGGTCAGTGGAGGCTTTTGTGTTGCTGAGATGCTGAGCAGGCTTCAACAGGGCTTCCACACTAAGAGTAGGAAGAATGTCCTGGTGATCTACTTGTGAAAATGAGTCAGTGAAACCCTATGAGTCACTCTGGTTAGCTCATCGGGAGGGCACAGGACAGAGCAGTGTCTAGTTCCGACTTCACAGCAGCTGCAGCAGCAGATGTTTGGGATGGTGGGAGGTGGGAGCCTCGGAGCTGGTTGTTTTGAGGACCTGCAGTAAATGCTGTCTGGAACGGGAAGACCATTGCCTGCTGAGGGTCAGCACCCAGAGGCACCTCGGAAGACAGCCTGAAACCTCTGAGCAGTTCTGCCCGACACGCATGGGCTCCTAACGAGCGTGAGTCCAGTCAGTGGCGGTTCGGCAGCAACAGAGGAGACCGACCAAGGGAGGCGTTTGGCAAGTGCCGGAGTAGAGGGAACTGTCTTTGTTGTTGTTGGGTGCCGTCCAGTCAGCTCCATCTGTGTACAACAGAAGAAGACTGCCTGGTCCCGGGCTGTCCTCACAATCGTCGCTTGGTTGGAGCCCCGTGTTGCTGCCCTGTGTCTGTCCATTTCGTTAGGGGTCTGCCTACTTTTCACTGACCTTCCGCTTTACCATGCATGAAGGGACTGGTCCCTCTTGATAATATGTCCAAACTATATGAGATGAAATCTCACCATCCTCACCTCCAAAGAGCTTTCTGGCTGTACTTCTTTCAAGACAGATTTGTCTGTTCTTCTGACAGTTCACGTTACAGTCAGTTTTCTTCGCCAACACTGTAATTAGAGACATCCAATTGCCTCTGTTCCTCCTTCGTTGTCCAGCTGCCACATGCACAGGAGGTGACTGAAATGTCCTCGCCTTGGCTCAGGTGCACCTGAGTCTTCAAGGTGACATCTTTGCTCTGTAAAACTTTCCCAAGGTCTTTTGGTGCAGATGGGCCCAAGAGATGTTGTTGCTGGAAGCATCTTTATTTTTAGATGGTGGTACTGTTGGGGGCATGACTCTTCTTCCCCTTTCTGAGTTTCTTATCCTGTTGACCTTCCTCTCTCTACCCCTCCACCCCCCACACTTCTGCTGAAGCTAGCAGACATGGGGCTTCACAGTCAGCACACACTGTGGGCGAGGTGGCTGATTGTACAGGTTACCATAGCATGAGTCTGTCTGATTTGGCTAATGTCTACTAGAGTGGTTTTGTACTTTATAAAGTAAATGTGTGGAAAGCTGTGTCTGAGTTCTGTCACACAAACACCACACGTGGATGCCCTCAGGAAACAGCATTTGTCCTCTGACCATTTAGAAGTCCACGTTCAGAGCACCGGCTCAACGGAGAGATCCTTGCCTCCGTTCAGCATCTCTGAGCCCCACATTCCTCAGTTTTACTTGCAGTGGAATTACGTCTGCATCAGTCTGCTGTGTGATGCTTTCTGATGCTGGGACCTTTTTACATCCGTGTTGTTGTTAAGTGCTGTCGAGTCAGTTCAACTCATAGCAACCTTGTATAGGGTTTCCAAGGACAAGTGGTGAATTGAACTGCCGACCTTGTGGTTCGCAATCTAGAACTGATGGTACAATGCCACACCAGGACTCCATCTGTTAAAACCTCCCTTTCCAAATTAAGGAATGAATAAGCCTGTTACCACAGAGTAGGTTCCTCCTCATGGTGACCCCACAGTAGAAATGCCATGTAGGGTTTTCTTGGCTGTTATCCCTACAAACGCTGATCTCCCGGTCTTTTCCTTCCACGCCGTTGGGTGGGTTTGCACCGCAGGTCGTGAGATTTGAACTGCCCACACCAGGAGCCTTTTTATGTTTGTGTGCTGCTGCGCCTTCTATGCTCGCTCTTTTCACGCTAAAGCTCATCCCTGAACCTGGAGGTGGCCTGTACCTACTGTCCAAGGACAGACTCCAGCTCCCGTTCCCCTCGGGGGCTTGTGGACTGGGATCCTTTCATGCAAAAGACCTTGGGAAGGTTTTACAGAGCAAAGATGTCACCTTGAGGACTCAGGTGCACCTGAGCCGCGGCGAGGACATTTCAGTCACCTCCTGTGCATGTGGAAACTGGACAATGAAGGAGGAACAGAGGACACTGGATGTCTCTAATTAGGGTGTTGGTGAAGAATATTGAGAAAACCGTGCCCCTGAGAAGCCAGGATGGTGAGATTTCATCTCCTAGTCTCATAGATGTAAGGGCAGTGTTCAGCCATCACTGCTTCGAAGCTCCAATGTCCCCAATTCTTCAGAGAAACAAGGGACAGGAGCGGCCCTCCGGGCTCAGCTGTGCCTCGTGGCCACACGAATGAGGGGTGCTGACTTCAGGGCCTTGAGCACCTGGACATATTGAGAGGAAGTCATTATGGAAACTCGGGAGGGTCCCCAAGTCCATCCCTCCCTCAAGGGACAGCCCTCTTCTGACATCTGTCCTCAACCACGTCACCACGGCTCTCGACGGGAGTGCCCTGTGCTGCTGGGACAAACGACTGCAAACTGCATGGTGGGAACCACAAATTCATTCTCATTTCTGGGGTACAGAGTCCACACGCAGGGGGCCCTGCAGCCACAGTGGTCCAGCCTCCTCGACCTATAGCTGCATCTGCTCCTGGTGTCGGATCTCACCCCGCGTGACTTACTCTCTTGCCCTTTTACAGGGACCACCTCGTGTTAATGACCCTTGTCCCAAACAAGGTCATGTACACAGCTGCAGGGGGTGAGGGCTTAAGCTTGTCTTTTTTGGGATCTGATTCAGTTTGGTGGTGTAGTGTGTTAAACACTGGACTGCTAACCTTAAAGTCAGGGGTTCAAACCAACCAGCTACACCACAGGAGAGCGATATGGCTGTCTGGTCCTGCAGGGTCACTGCGAGTGAATAAGAACCAGGCAGGAGCTGGACCTGTCCACTCCTGGAGAGAGCTGCTCTGTCCAGATGTCCTTCTGTCTGTCTGTCCCCTCCCCGTTATGAGGACCCTGCTGTGATAGCCCTCACGCTCACAGCATCTTCTAATTCCTGGTTCCACGGGAACAGGGGTCAGCAGGGGTCAGAACACCCACCACAAGTTGTCCCTTTGCCTGTCTGCTGTCTCCCTCACCGGAGCCTCATGTCTGTGGGCAGGGGTCCTGTCCACCCGTCTGTCTGCTCCTGCCCTGCCCCCAGGTGTCCCATCTGTCTGTCTGTCCTATCCTCAGCCCCACTCATGTCTGTGGACAGGGATCCCATCAGTCTGTCTGTCTGTCCTGCCTCCAGCCCCACTCATGACTGTAGGCAGGGGTCCATTCTGTCTGTCCATAGTGTCCCCACCCCAACACTGGCCTAGGACAGGTGTTTGGTGGTGGTGGGTAGAGTGATGGGATGAATGGATGGTTTTCCGTCATTTAGCTGCTTTATAAGTTTATAAAGGTTTGTGGACTATAAGCTCCTTCTCTTTAACAAGGAGCATGGTGGTGTCATGGTTAAAGCAGGAACCAGAAGATACATAGTTCAAACCCACCTGTCGCTTGGGAACTGAGTTGGAACTCCCTTGCTTTGTGTTTAGCTGGAGCAGCCACGAGTGGAAGAAACTGATCATGGTCCACCACTGGCCGCCCACCGTGTGTGAGGTGAGTGTTCCCTATGGCTCCCGCTCCCAGGTGCCGAGGGACGGCTCCTCCCGCAGCCCAGCACACACAAACCTGCTCTCCAGATTGGCGCGCACCCCTCTCTGCCCCCAACTTCTAGGGGTCCCAGCCACGGGTCTTCAGAGCATCTCTGGTGACAGCCTCACCTCAGAGACACTGTGGGTTTGGTTCCAGGCCACACAACACAGTACATAGCTCAGTCACGCAAGCCAAGTGCATATGGAAGGGATGTTGATCCAACAGTCGTCTGAAGTGTGCCATAGACTGATGGACGAGTTGGAAATCTTGTCAGAATGGCCCACATGGGACACAGAGAGGCTGTTGGGAAAACGACGCAGACAGACTTGCTCGACACGGGGTCGCCACAATCTGCTGATTTGTAGAAGCTTAACAATATAGTCTAAGAAGCGCCATGGTTAAACGGGGTCTGGTTGAGCTTTGCTGTTGCTGTTGTAACCATTGAATTGGTTCCGACTCATAGTGACTCTGCACAACTGAACACAACACTGCTGGTCTTGCACCATCCTCGTAATTGTTAGATTTGAGCCCATGGCAGCTGCCACTGTGCCATTCCACCCTATTGGGGGGGTCTTCCTCTTTTTCGCTGACCCTCCACTTTACCAAGCATGATGTCCTTCCCAGGGACTAACCCCTCTGATAACATGTCTGAAGTAGGAGAGACAAAGTCTAGCCATCCTTTGTTTACAGGGTGCCACCATATTGGTGCGCTATCCTAGTGTTACTGGTTCTGAAGTTTTGCCTCAGAAAAGTTTCCCGCAGTGGCTCTGTGTTAACGCACATCAGTCACTGTTGAGTTGGTTTCAGCTCCTGGCAACCCCACCTGTAAGAGCAGGACTCCAAGCAGATCGCCAGTCCTGTCTTCCGAGGCATCTCTGGGTGGGTTTGAACCATGAACCTTTCAGTTAGTCATTGTGTGCTTAGCCACTTTTCACACAGAGACCCCAGTGCATGGATGCTCTGTCTCCAGCATTTAGTGATTGCTGTTAGGGGCCATCCAGCCAATGCCGACTGATTGCGACCTTGTACAAGGTTTTTGAGGCTGTGACTGTTTGTGGGATTTGCCTCATTTTTGTCCCACGGAGTTGGCTGGTGGGCTGGAACTGCCAACCTGATTGATTGTCGCTTGTTGGCAAACGGAAGCGAAGCCTCACTTGTTCTCTTGCTCAGTTTGCTCTTAGTTTGAGAACTAATTTCTGTTGCACTGGTGGCGCAGTGGTGAAGCACTCGGCTGCTGACCAAAGGACAATGGTTCGAACCTACCAGCCGCTACGAAGGAGAACGCTGTGGCATTGGGCTCCAGTAAAGACGTCAGCCTTGGAAACTTTGTGGGACACTTCTCTGTCCTCCAGGTCTCTCTGAGTTGGAACTCACCACAGCAGTGGACCTAGCTTGGGTTTCTTTTCTGTATTTTATCTGGTACACTCACTCCTTGGTCAGAACTGACTCAACAGCACTCACCAACAAGCACCAGACTGCTGTCCTGGGGTGACGCTGTGGGCTAAACACTGGACCGCTCAACACAGGGTTCCGTTGTGTCTGGTCTGATAGCCGAAATACGTTTCTTGCTGTTTCTTTTGAGAAAACGCCTGTCTAACTAGACACGTGGCTGTCTCTACAGAGTGTGGGAGCATGGTGGCTCCATACAGTAAGCACTGAACTGCAAGCCACAGGGTCGGCAGTTGGAGCCCGCCAGCTGCCTCATGGGAGAAAGATGAGGCTTTCTGCTTCGGCAAAGATTTAAAGCGTCGGAAACCCTGTACAGGGTCACCGTGAGTCGGAACTGACACTTGGTAACAACACCAACTAAAGAGTAGGTGTAAGCACTGGCCTGCTAACCACAAGGTCAGCTCTTCAAACCACAGCCACTCCATGGAAACCCCATACTGAATCACTGTGAGCCGTAACTGACTTGATGGCATGGAACAGCCACAAAGATCGTGAAAGGAGCCTTGGTAGCACAGTGGTTAAGCAAGGCCTGCTGACTGGAAGGTCGGCTGTGTGAACCCACCAGCTGCTTCATGGGAGAAAGCTGTGGCAGCTCCCAGAGATCTAATGGGGTGGCTCTCTCTGTGAGTCGGAATTGACTCACCCCGATGGGTTTAGTTATTTGGGGTTTAAAGAGTGTGATATTGTTGATAAATGCCATCATGTCAGTTCCAACTCATAGCGATCTGGCATAGGGTTTCCGAGAACTGGCTGGTGAGTTTGAACCTCTGACCTTGCAGTCCAGCACCTTCACCTGCAGCACCACACCAGGCTTCCGTGCAGTGTGAGAGGAATCCACACAGTTCTGCCACGGGAACTCACCAGCTGTTCCGCAGGAGAACGATGTGGTAGTCTGCTCCCATGAAGACCTACATACAGCCTTGGAGACCCCATGAGACTGCTCTGAGTTGGAATGGACTCCCCAGCAGTAGACTTGATTGTCTTGTTTTAAAAGGAGTGGCCGCGAGCTGCCTCACGTCTCGTCTTTCTTACTGGAAGGAGGGGATTCCAGTCTGCTCCATGGGCTCAGCCCCTGGCTCTCTCAGTGGTGGGTTTGGACAGGTCAGTGAGCCGCTGGACAATGACTCATGCTCATCAGATCAGCTTCATTGTGACCAACAGCGTAGGGAGTCTTTACCCCCTGGGGTCTGCGTTGTCTGACTATAGATGTGCTGTCTTCATAGAGAAGACCGCACCCGTGACACCCGTGTTTCCGGGGTGATTAATGTACAGGGGTCCTGGGTATATGTCCTTTCAGTACCACATTCCCTGTGCCTTGCTGAGGCCATGGACAGAAAAGCTAAGTGTGTTTCCACAAGCGATGAGTCAGTGAGCTCTTCATGTGTTCTCTCCTTCCCCAGGAAGTTGGAAATGACTGTAGCAACACTCTGGATTACTGGACCATCCATGGACTATGGTGAGCAGTGGTCTCCATGTTTACGTTGGTGATTCGGGTAATGAATAGATGAGGTCTTTATTTAAAAATATCTTAAATCTTTCTGACATAACCCTAATTCTGCGTTCTTTTGTTCTGCTTGGGTAGAATAATAATTGTTGTTGTTGTTGTTAGGTGCCATCAAGTCAGTACCTACTCATAGCAATCTTATGCACAACAGAACGAAACACTGCCCAGTCCTGGGCCAACCTCCCTACTATTGCCACACTTGGGACCATTGACGCTGCCACTTGGCCAATCCATCTTGCTGGGGGAGGGGGGGGTCTTCCTCTTGTTCTCTGACCCTCCACCTTACCAGACATGATATCCTTCTCCAGTGACTGGTCCCTCATGACAATATGTCCGAAGTATGAGAGACAGAGTCTGGCCATCCTGGCCTCCAAGGAGCATTCTGGTTGCACTTCTTCCAACACAGATCTGTTGGTTCTTTTGGCAGCCTGTGGCACTTTCAATATTCTTCTCCAATACCGTAAACTCAAAAGCATAATTTCTTCTATGGTCTTTTACTTTTATATACTTTTCTAGACTTTTCTACTTTTATAGAATAATAATAGTTGAGTTTAAGCTTGAGAGTTTGAACCTTGTGGTCCAGTGCTTACCCCCAGCGCCATGCCAGGATCTCTCTGTAGCAGTAGGTCACGTTACATATACTGTATTTGCATATGAAGCCCTGCTGTGGAGCTGTAGGATAAGCACTAGACTACTAGCCTCAAGATTGCCGGTTCAAGCCCACAAGTTGCTCCTCAGAAACCCAAAATCAAGCTTAAGTCATGAAGTAGATTCCATCTTATAGTGATCCTGTACATGGGTCCTGAGGCCATAAATCTTTATGGGAGCAGAAAGCTGGTGCATTTGAACTGCGCCATACCAGGTCACAAAGCCACGCTGGGTCATAAAGCCACACCACAGTGCCACACCTGGTCATAAAGCCACACCATAGCACCACACCAGGACAGAAAGCCACACCATAGCACCACGCCAGGTCACAAAGCCACACTGGGTCAGAAAGCCACACCATAGCACCACGCCAGGTCACAAAGCCACGCTGGGTCATAAAGCCACACCACAGTGCCACACTGGGTCATAAAGCCACACCATAGCACCACACCACAGCACCACACCAGGTCACAAAGCCACACTGGGTCATAAAGCCACACCACAGCGCCACACCACAGCACCACACCAGGTCACAAAGCCACACTGGGTCAGAAAGCCACACCATAGCACCATACCAGGACGGAAAGCCACACCACAGCACCACACCAGGTCATAAAGCCACAACATAGCGCCACACCAGGTCACAAAGCCACACTAGGACAGAAAGCCACACCACAGCACCACACCGGGTCATAAAGCCACACCAGGACAGAAAGGCACATCACAGTGCCACATGGGGACAGAAAGCCACACCACAGCGCCACACTGGGTCATAAAGCCACACCACAGTGCCACACCGGATCATAAAGCCACACCACAGCACTACATCAGGACAGGAAGCCACCTCTTTCTCCCACAGAGCAGCAGGTGTGTTTGAACTGCCGACCTTGCGGTTCGCATCCCCGCGTTTACTCCGCAGCAACACGTAAGCCGTGTGCAGCCCCTGGGTAGTACAAACCATTAACGTCTTGGCTGCTGATGTGAAGGTTGGAAATCTACACCACAGTACCTTGGAAGACGACCCTGGAGACCTGTTTCAGCACTTAGCCACTGACCCCGTGAACACAGTTATGCTCTGACACGCGTGGGACCCACTGGATGGCAGCTGCTTTCACTCCTTGTCCAGTGGTTTCCGTGGCAGGTGGACGCTGACATGCGTGGGGCCCACTGGATGGCAGCTGCTTTCACTCCGTGTCCAGTGGTTTCCGTGGCAGATGGACTCTGACATGCGTGGGGCCCACTGAATTGCTCTCACTCCTTGTCCAGTGGTTTCCGTGGCAGGTGGATTCTGACACATGTGGGGCCCACTGGATTGTTCTCACTCCATGTCCGGTGGTTTCTGTGGCAGGTGGAAGTCCCAGGTGACGTCATGTTTCCATTGGTTCTCCAAAGTGCTCACGTGTACGAGTCTTCTAGGGTCACGTTGCTGCCGTTGCATCTGAGACTAATTCTTGTTTCTTCTCGATTTCAAGGCCTGACAAAGCAGAAGAGTGTAACCGGTCCTGGCACTTTAATTTAGAAGAGATTAAGGTATGGACTGTTGGTCCTGCTCTGCTCTAGAACGTGGCCTGAGACGAGCTGTATCCTTCAGAGGGAACCTTCAGAGCCCTGTTTTAAAATGAGGGGATGTCTGTGTTCATCAGGATTGGACCCCTGGTATCTTTTTAGGAGTTTTCCCACAGATTAAATACAAATGGACCTTTCTTCTCCACGGCCACAGCCCCATGCCAGCCCCCCGTGGACAGTTGGGAGTGAACCCAGCCCCTGGGAGAGGACATTCTGGTTCCCCTCACTTCTGGCCCCCGTGAGATGCCCTGAGGGAACCCCCAGATCCTGCACCCCATAACTGAAATGTTTGGGGGTCCACCATGGACAACTGTGGCCTGGAGCGTATGGTCAGTGCTGCAGGCCTGCCCTTTCTGGCTGTGGCCATGGTGGGTTTCTGTCAGGGACTAAGAGCAAGGAGGAAGCGATGGGGTCTTAGCTCCTAGTGTAGCTCCCACAGTGGGGTGACTTTAAACAGCAGGAACGGGCTCCCTCACAGTTCAGGAGACTGGACGCCCGAGTTCAGGGCCGGCTCTAGGGGAACGTTCTCTCTGTGGGCTCTGGGGGGATGTCCTTGTCTCTACAGCTTCTGTGGGCCTGTTGTTTCTCAGCCCCGTCTGTGCTTGCTCCAGTGTCTGATCTGCACCTGGCTGCCTGCCCATCCTTGTTTCCCGCTGCCCACATGGCACACTGTCTCTCTGACCCTCAGCCCTGGAGCTGGGTCAGTGCTCACACCTTAGCAGGACAGCTTCTTTCAGACGGGCAGACAGACAGATCCGGGCCCCTGGGGGTTCCCACCACTGCCGGGGGCTCTCACTGACCCCGGGGACTCTCACTGACCCACTGACCCCAAGGGCTCTCACTGACCGCGAGGGCTCTCACTGACTCATTGACCCCAGGAGCTCTCACTAACCCCGAAGGCTCTCACTGACCCTGAGGGCTCTTACTGACCTACTGACCCCGAGGATCTCAGTGTCCCTGAAGGCTCTCACTGACCCCAAGGGCTCTCACTAACCCCAGAGGATCTCACTGACCCACTGACTCCTGGGGCTCTCACTGACCCTGAAGGCTCTCACTGATCCACTGACCCCAGGGGCTCTCACTGACCCCGAAGGCTCTCACTGACCCACTCACCCCGAGGGCTCTCACTGACCCCAGGGGCTCTCACTGATCCTAGGGTCTCTCACTGACCCCGAGGGCTCTCACTGACCCCAAGGCCTCTCACTGACCCCGAGGGCTCTCACTGACCCCAGGGGCTCTCACTGACCCTGAGGGCTCTCACTGACTCATTGACCCCGAGGGCTCTCACTGACCCCAGGGGCTCTCACTGACCCCGAGGGCTCTCACTGACCCCTGCGGACTCATTAATTCTCTGAGACTACTCGACCTGCAGTTACCAATCCATTACAACATGAGGGGTTCAAAGAAAGACATATTTGAGGTGTGGCCACGGAGGGGTCCTGGTGTGACTCACCCACCAAGAAGCTTCTCTGAGCCTCAGGGCTTGGGGCTCTTGTCCCCCTCCTTACAGAGCGCATCTGCCCGAGCATCTGTCCTCTCGGTGTGCCCAGCCCAGGTGTGGGTCCTTTTAGAGGAAGAACTAAAAACAAGAGGCCAAAGTGCTTTCAGCAGAGCACTTCCCCACCTTCTAGAACCTCAGAAGACATGAGGTATAGGCCACACTCTATGCTGATATGGCACATTATTTCCACAGGTACCTATGGGGTTAGGAGTCCAACCCGTGTTTTGGGGGGATATACAAAAGAGCCTATTGCAGATGAACTCAGAGGACTGGGATTTTCAGCAGAGATGAATAGAAGTCATCTTTTGAGATGTAACAGGAATTCGCCTCTCAGATGTGGAATAATCTCTCTTCCTCCCACCTCTGTCCCATACACACACTCATCTTTCCTTAGGGGCACCTGCAGTCTGGGTGAATACGCAGTAAAATGTCAGGTACCAAGAGCTGGGTGTGCAGGATGGGGTCCAGCAGGTCGGCTGTGATAGGGAATCAGAGGGTTTACTGAGATTCTAGATCCCTGCAGGAACATGTGTTTCCCAAGAGGACGGGGTTGTTCTTGTTAAGTACCATTGAGTTGGTTCCAACCCATTGCAACCCTGTGTAGCTCCTCCCTGTTTCTGAGGAGGGGCTGGTGAGCTTGAAGCGCTGACTTTGTGGTTCAAACTGAACTTAACCCACAGCACCACACTAGGACTCCAAGAGAGCAGGGCAATTGGGTCCAAATCCACGGGTTCGAATCCACTCTGCACTGGATTTGGGTTATTTTCCTCTGTCTCCTTCCTGGGAGGCCCTTTAAGGCCATGGTCCATAAGGCCTCATGGCTTTGAGGCCCCATGGACAGCAGTCACTGGGGACACCCGGAGCCAGTGATGGGGCCTCTCACACATCTTCATTTCTGTGTGAATTGCAAGTAGAATGAAAGATGAATTCATCCAATGCAGACTTACGGAGTGCTTACCATTGGTGTCATGGTTAAGCGTTTAGCAGCTAACCAGACCCACTAACCGCTCTGAGGGAGAAAGGTGTGGCCGTCTGCCTCCATGAAGATTGGCAACCTTGGAAACCCTACGGGGCACTTCTACCCAGTCCCACAGGCTTACTGTGAACCACCACCCACGCCCTGACAGTAGGTTTGGTTTTAGGACTAAATCTTTATGGGAACACATTCTCATCCATCTCCCGAGGTGGGCTTCAACCTTGCAGTAAGCAGACCAATGCTTAATGCACTTTTTTACCATTGGTGCTGGGGTTAAGCACTCAGCTGCTAACCTAAAGGTCACTGGTTCGAACCCAGCAGCCTCTTCACGGGGGAAAGATGAGGCTGTTTGCTCCCGTAAAGATTTGCCTACTTGGAAGCGCTCTGGGCAGTTTTGCCCTGTCCTCTAGAGTTGCTGTAAGTCAGAATCCTCCAGGGTAGCAGGCCTAGGTCTGTTTTGGAGGGGTTCAGACTGCCTGGTCCAGCACACTTCATCTTTGGGCAAAAAAAAGAGAATTTGAGTTTTCAAATTCAGTTATTTTATAATGATGTAAAATTCTATTTTAGATAACATCTTAAGAAAAACTTCATGCAAAATAAGCACAGAATTAATTGCTTTACTCGCCTAAATATAATTCACCAACAGAGCTAAACGCTTTTCGGGAGCTCAGTGGCTCCGTGCCTAAGCACTGGGCTGTGAACCACAAGCTCCATGGTTTCAGCCGCCAGGCCGATCCAAAGGAGAAAGATGAGGCTTTGTGATCCCACAAAGATTTAAAAAGCCTCAGAAATGCTACCCAGGATCGTTATGAGTTGGAACCGGCTCAAACGCACCCAACAGCAAATTCTTTTCATCTGTTTTAAGTTCATCAACGTTGCATTCTAGGTTTTGAGGTTTTAGCTCCTGGGTGTGATTGTGATGTTTTCTACCACATGCAGGACCTTATGCCGGAAATGAAGATGTACTGGCCTGATGTAATCCACCACTCTTCCAACAGCAGCCAGTTCTGGTGAGTTTCTGAGTCCTGAAGAAGCTGGGTGACAGGCACTCTGAGGTTGAGACTCTATCTGAAGCCCAGATAAAGGATTAGGCGTGAGACGGTGGGACACATCAGCCTTCTCTCTAGAGATGCTGGTCTGTGAGGCTGTGCTTGATGCTTTCTGCTGGACAGGGGGACAGCATGGGAGCTGACCGTGTCCGCTCATTCTCTAGTTATTTCATTCCTTCCTGCGTTAATTGTTTCCTCTCCTAGAAGGGAAGTACTGATGGTCCTCCATAACCTGGCTGAACTGTGTAAACACACCAAGTGAAACACGTCTGTCACAAAAGGACAGATAGTATGTGATCTACTTGTGAAACATCTAGAGTAGGCAGAAGCTTAGTGACCAAGGCTGATGACAGGCCTGGGAGGGAGGGAGGGAGGAAGGAAGATGTCCTGCCTAGGGGACAGTGATCTGTTGGGGGTGACAGTTGATGGCAGACAGAGTGATGTTTAATGCCCCTGAATTGGACGTATCAGGGTTCTAGAAATGGCAAAGAGATAGCTACTGTTATGTTACCCATCATGTGTGGAAGTATGAGCCACCCTTGTAGTCAAGTGTTTATCCTACAGGGCCACACCAGGACTCCTATTACATTATCTATTTATCTATCTCTATATTGTTGTTGTTGAGTGCCTTCGAATCAGTTCTGACCTGTAATGACCCTGTATAGGGTTTTCAAGGAGCGGCTGGTGAGTTTGAATCTCTGACCTTGTGGTTCAAACCGACCTTGAGGTCGAGTGCTTATTCCATGGTGCCATATCAGGACTTTCTCTCTGTACAAGTCGGTCTGCTAACCTCAGGGACAGCAGTTCGAAACTACCAGCTGCTCTGTGAAAGAAAGATGAGGCGTTCTGTTCCCATAAAGATTTACAGTCTCGGAAACCCTATGCAGGGTCGCCATGATTTGGAATCAGCTCCACAATACACCACCACCATCATCATATATATATATATATCTATGGAGTCTTGGCGTGGCTCTGTGTGTTAATGCACTAGACTGCAAAGTCGGTTTGAACTGCAAGGTCAGCAGTTCAAACTCACTAGACGCTCCTTAGAAACCCTATACAAGGTCGCTATGGGTCGGGACCTACTCAGCAGCACGTAACAACAACAACAACATATATAAATGTTTTGTTGTTGTTGTTAGGTACCATCAAGTCAGTACCGACTCATAGCGACACAACAGAACGAACACTACGTGGTCCTGCGCCAACCTCACCATCGTTGCTATGTTTGAGCCCATTGCTGCTGCCACTGTGCCAATCCATGTCATTGGGCGTCTTCTTCTCTTTCACCAACTGTATACCAAACATGATACCCATCTCCAGGGACTGGTCCCTGTAATAATATGTCCAAAGTATGAAAGACAAAGTCTGGCCATCCTGGCTTCCAAGGAGCATTTTGGATGTACTTCTTCCAACACAGATTGGTTTGTTCTTTTGGCAGTCCATCGTACTTTCAATATTTTCCTTTAACACCATAACTCAAATGCATCAATTCTTTTACGGTTTTCCTTATTCACTGTCCAAATTTTGCATGCATTTGAGGTTATTGAAAATACCATGGCTTGGGTCAGGCGCACCTCAGTCCTCAAATTGACATCTTTGCTCAACACTTTAAAGAGGTCTTGTGCAGCAGATTTGTCCAATGCAGTATGTTGTTTGATTTCTTGGCTGCTGCTTTCATGAGTGTTGATGGTTTATCCAAGAAAAATGAAGTAATTGACAACTTCAGTCTTTTCTCCGTTGATAAGAGTGTTGTTTATTAGTCCAGTGGTGAGGATTTTTGTTTTCTTTATATTGAGATGTAATCCATACCGAAGGCTGTGCTCTTTGATCATCAGTAAGTATTTTAAGTCCTCTTTCAACAAGCAAGGTTGTATCATCTGTATATCGCAGGTTGTTAATGAGCCTCCCTCCAATCCTGAACCCACGTTTTTCTTCCTATAACCTAGCTTCTCAGATTATTTGCTCAGCATACAGATTAAGTGTGGTGAAAGAATACAACTCGGGCACACCGCTTCCCTAATTTTAAACCATTCGATGTTCCTTGTTCTGTTCAAACAACTGCCTCTTGGTCTATGAACAAGCATCTCATGAGCTCAATTAAGTGTTCTAGAATACTCATTCTCCAGAATGTTGCCCATAGCTTGTCAGGATCCACACAACTGACAGCTTTGCCGAGTCAACAAAGCACGGGTAAACATCTTTCTGGTATTCTCTGCTTCCAGTGAAGATCCATCTGACTCCAAGAACGAGATCCCTTGTTCTGAATCCGGCTTGAATCTTTGAAAGTTCTCTGTCAATGTACAGTTACAGCCATTTTTATATTATCTTTAGCAAAAATTTACTTGCAGGCAATATGAACGATATTGTCTGATGATTTTCTACATTCATCATCATCATCATAAAAATCATGTTAAGCTCTGTCTTGAAGAACAATGCTGTCTATGATAGGATAATATCCAAATGCCTTCAAGGACGTAGAACGAGGGATATCATTGCCGACATCAGATGGATCTTGGCTGAAAGCAGAGAATACTAGACAGATGTTTACCTGTGCTTTATTGACTACGCAAAGGCTTTCGATTGTGTGATCATGATAAGCTATGGACAACATTGTGAAGTATGAGTCTCCAGGAACACTTAACTTGCAGTGAGCCTTGAGGGGACGTGCTGCGGCCCATTCAATTCAGGCAGAGAGACCAGCTTAGCAGGTTTGGGCTCTTGGGATTTCAAAGAGATCATTTTTGTAGACTTTTTTTTGAAGGACAAAAGGCAATCTAGAAGAATTATTAGGAAGACTTTTTAAACAAATTGAAAACTTCCAGGAAATTTGTACCGAGGAATTTTTTCTGTCATGACAATGCACCTCCTCCTTTGAAGTAAGCAAGGGCTGCCTTTGAGAACTTCATGGGGATGCCGTACCAGATTCACCCTATACTCCTGGCCTTCCCCTTCAGACTTCGTTTTATTCCCAGGACTCAAAGAACACGATCTGCATCCCTCCTTCAAGGGTGTCAAAGCTGCCGTTCGGTGTGAGGTGAATGGAAGCACGCAGTGGTTTTCAGGGACGGGTTAGGGTTAGGGAGATGGAAACACCGCCTTCAGAGTGTGTATTTCTAGATGGGGGGGGTAAGTTGAGAAGCAGTCACCTCCCATTTTGATATATTTGTACAGTAACTTTGACCTTACCCTCATACACATTGTTACCTTAGCACACACACATGCAGAGACCTCAGGTGGCATATCTGAGACCAGAAGCTGGTATCTCTGGTACTTGCATCGATGACATTTTGTTGTGCATTTTTCAAGGTTGAGTGGCATTAGGGAATGCATTGTGCGGTTGGACTTTACCCAGCTTGTCGGCATTAGGCATAAGCTGGCCTGGGAGAGCCCGGCTCCATGTCTGTGGAAATGCTGAGGTGGCCTGTTTGCAGAGCCCCAGCAGGCACTTGGCTGGAAGCCACGCGTCTCGAGTCCCTGGTGATGGGTTCTGCCAAGTCCCTCAGATTGATGGCTTCAGAGCCGCGTTCGCCCTTTCCGATGTGAATGTCTAGCCCGTGGTGTAGACTGTGTTTCAGTTTTCAAGGTTCTCCTCCATTATATTTTGCTAGACTCGAGCATCCACCTGAAACTTGAGAGTTAAATTAGTAATCGTACACAGGGTAAATAAATAATAACCAGCTTCCACCCCTTCCAAGCATGCTGCCGGCCCCGGTGTCCTCAGGGGCCACTGGCTGCAGGGACGGGGTGAAGGAACTTGCGGTGGGGCCAGCAGGGTGACAGGATCCTGATGTTGTTTTGTACCCTTGAACATGGGTTTAGCTGATCTAAGGCAACTGGAAACCAAACCCAGCCCATCAAATCCGGTAGATTCCGACTCAGCAACCTTTCAGGACAGACTACACCTGCCCCATACGGTTTCCAACACTGTCATCTTTATGGAAGAAGATTTCCACAGTATTTTCTTGTGGAGTGATTGGTGGGTCTGAGCTACTGACCTTCAGGTTTGCAGCCCAACAACTCCTAACGTCCTGGGCCACCAGGACATCTTAGATCAAAGGCAGAGTTAGCGTTTGCATTGCAAACGTGTGCAGAGCAGGCTGAGCCTCGGTGTTTCCAAGGTGAGAGCCTTCCAGATCACTCCAGCTCTGTCTTCTGAATATCCATTAACCTGACATTGGACATTGACCAAAAAGCATACATGAGGGGGCTTGGAAAAGTTTGGGGCAAAGTCCCATTATCTGTCATTGCATTTGTCCACACACTTTTTGAAGCCCCCTCACATGCGGCCCGTTGATTAGGGCTTTGATTCCGAGTAACGGGTTGTAGTAAGGAGAGCAGAGTCCTCGAGGAAGCATCAGCGCTGAAGAAGCCAGGCAGACGTGAAGACATGCTCTGTGGGCACCAGACACATCAGAGCTAGGAGGGACGCCCGGCATGCAGGCTGGCAGCCCACGTGTGCAGAGCGGGGCTGAGCCTCGGGGTTTCCAAGGCTAAGGCATTCCAGATCACCAGGTCTGTCTTCTGAGACACCTCTGGCTGGGTTTGAACCAACTTTTCTGCAAGTCATCGAGTGATAACTCTGCATCGCTTTGGTGGTTGTTGGTGTGCGCTGTCGAGTCTGTTCCGAGGCTGTAAATCTTTACAGGAGCAGAAGTCTCACCTTTCTTCCGAGGAGTCGCTGGTGGGTTTGAACTGATGACCTTGTAGTTAGCTGTCCAGTGCTTATCCTACAGCGCCACCAGTTGTTAAGAGCATGCTGTTGCTGAAGACCAGGTGCATCAGAGGTCAGGAATTCAGGTAGCTGACCTGTCGCGTAAAAGGAAGTGAGGTGCTCAAAGTCATTACCTGGGTTTTGAGAGTCAGGCAGCAGGTGAGTCTGAGCCAAGGCCCCGGTGAGCAGTGTGGGGCCACAGATCTCCCTCTGAGGCCCGGCCCCTCCCCTATAGACGCCTTTCTCAGATGGGAAGTCTCAGGCTCCAGGTCTGTGGCTACATGGCTTCCTGCAGACGTCCAGTCCCATCGTGCATGCTGTTGCCACAGCAGACCGAGGCCAGTCCCCTCCCCGGCCAGTAGCACAGGCCACACTGTGGACTCAGCTGGTGGGTATTTGAAAGTCCAGAGAGGCGCTCTCCATCCCGGGCCTCAGCGGCACAGCCCAGGTACTGGACTGGAGGTGGTTGCCATGGGAATGTTGTCAGACTGCCTCAGTAAATGGAATTTCATAGCCCACAGCAGACATGACTAGGAAGACAGCTGTTCAGTGATCACCTCTGTGGACCCAGTGGGGGACTGAACAAGGGGGGGCTGCGGGTGCTTGTGTCTGGGACTTCTGTCATGGTGGGCCTGTGACTGGAATTGGCCTCAGCTGCAGATGCCTGGCTGAGGTACTCGGAACAGGTGGGAAATCCATCTCCCCTGTAGGACAGAAGATGACTCCTTCCTAGGGTTTCTGAGGCTGTCCGTGTATGGAAGCAGACTGTCCCATCGTTATCCTGTGGGGCAGCTGGTGGGTTCAACAATCAGGGCTCCTAAAGTCCCACAGAAGAAGGTGCCACAGCTGAATGAGAAACACAAGTAGTGAACGTTTAGCAGAGACAGCTGAATTTTCCCTCTTGTGAGGGTGTTCCAAGAAGTTTGTGGATAAATGGAATCAGAAGCTCATGGAATGGAAGGGAATGGGAAGACCCCACATATTCATTAGGATAGTTTCATCTGGAAGTAGCAGAAATGCCCACTGGGAGGGCGTGTATCAGGCTTTTCTTCTGAGGCACTTCAGGGTGGGTTCGAACCACCGTTTCAGCCAGTAGTGGAACGCCTAGCTGTGTGTGCACCAGAGATTGATTTTAAACAAAGCATAGTGAAAACCACCCCACCTACCTGGTTCATGAGGGCCGGGTTTGTGGTCCCCTCGAAGGCGTCTGACTCGCGGCTTACAGCTTTACTCCATGAGACGTCCAGTGACTGTTTTGTTTTGTTTTCAGTAGATTACCAGACCTTTCTTCTGAGGGTCCTCTGATTAGATTTGAACAGCCACCCATTTACCCCACCCAGGGGCTCTCTGGGCATGGGACAGGAGGGTGCTCTGTGGACCCAGGTCTGTAGTGTGAACTTTCCCTTCAGTAGAAGAGATGGAAGTTGGGGAGGGGTTCCTGGGCTCCTAAGCACGCGCTCTGAGTAATCTGCACACCAGAAAACATAGAAAACGTCATGGCCGACTGAGTTGGAATGAGAAAAAGCCAGGAAGAACAGTTTGATAGAGCATTTTACAAAGTCCTGGGAAATAATGAGTCTGTGGTTACCAAGGATACAGCCGTGGTCCTCCCGTGACTACCGAGCTACAGGGGAGTGGATTACGGTTTAGCTAAACAGCTGAAAATGAAGCTGCAGCCGTAGATACTTCAGTACAGCAGGTAAGCGGTGAATCACTTGGCAGTGATAACTGTACGTCTTGGTGCCGAGTGGTGTTGGTTCTGACTCACAGTGGTTCTGTGGTCAACAGAGGGAAACACTCCTCGGTCAGTCCTGCACCGTCCCTACAATTGTTATGTTTGAGCCCACCGCTGCTGCCACTGTGTCAGCCCACCTCACCGAGGGTCTTCCTCGTTTTCACTGACCCTCTACTTTCCCAAAGGAGCTCTGGTAGCATAGTGGTTACAAGTCGGGCTGCTAACCTCAAGGTCAGCAGTTCGAAACTACCAGCGATTCTGCAGGAGAAAGATGTGGTTTTCTGCTCCCGTAAAGATTTACAGCCTCAGAAAACGTGCGCAGGGTCGTTAAGAGTCAGAACCGACTTCATGGCACATAACCACCACCACCGCCACTTCCCCAAGCATGATGTGTCCTCCAGGGACTGGTCCCTCCTGACAATGTGTCCAAAGTCCGAGAGACGAAGTGTTGCATCCTGGCTTCTGAGGAGCACTGTGGTCGTTAGTGTTAAAAGTGTCCGGTCCCAGTGTCCAGTCTAGAGCCAGGCGGCGAGTGTTGCTCCCTCGCATCACGTGCTGACTGAGGCATCTAGGGACCATTTGTCGTGTGCTAGGAGCCATTTGCTCGTGTCAGCATGCTAACTACGTCAGCACATTTACTCTCCCCGATGCCACATCGACCCTACAGGACCAGGAGAACACTGTCCCTTTCCGAGGCTGTCAGTCTTTTCGGGAGCAGCCTCTACCTTCTGTGAAGCACCAGCTTTGAGTGAACACCCAGTGCTTAACCCATGGCACCACCAGTGCTCCTTCCTGTAGGTTCTGATATTAATCCTGTTTTACTGTAACTGAAGCAGCATCTTAGACTCCTGGTGTGGCCACTATAGGATCTGCACTGGACTGCTAACCACAAGGTCAGTGGTTCAGACCCATCAGCCGCTCCTCAGAAACCCTAGGCAGGGTGCTATGAGTCAGAACCAACTCTATGGCACTTAACAACAACAGCAAGGAAGTATCTAAGATGCCTTGATAGCACAGTCGGTTAAACATTGGGCTGTTATCATCAAGGTTGGCAGTTCAAACCCAGCAGCCACTCGGGGGGAGAACAGTGAGGCTGTCTGCCCCTGTAAAGATTTCCAGCCTGGCAGACTCTGCCCAGCCCTAAGGCCGCTCTGGGCAGCAATCTCCTGGCCACTATGTCTCAGAAGTCATCGTGCGTGGTGATCCTCGTCTGGGAGGTCTCAGCCTTGAAGAGCCTGTGGAGCAGAGTTCTCCTTAGCACACACGGGGGCGCCGTGAGCCAGAGTTGAATCAATGACAGGTCACAGCAACAGATGGGTGACACTGAATTCCTTGAGAAGGTCTTTCCCTTGTGCTCTGTAGACTAGACAAAGCTGGTAAATCGTTTGTTCTGAAAACTACTATTAGTTAGCCATCCCTTCTTATTCTTGGGTCTGACTTCTCTATCTCCCTGAGGTCTGAGGAACTTAGAACCAACACAGTTATTCAGAACTGAGACTCTGGATGGATTTACCAGTGGATTCATGAAAATGTTTTTGAGGGACTACGTATGAGAGCTTTATGAAGGCTGCTTGGATATCATGTGCAAAAACGTCATGACTGAATCGCCAGTAGAGCCCAGGAAGCTTGCAGTCCGTTGTGTTTGACCATGCTAAAAACTGTTAGCGTGTGAACAGACAGGTCAACGGTCCTTCTGGGGACAGGTCTAAATTATAGTCAGCAAAGGGTTGGGGACAGAATCCCTGAGCTCGGAACCAAAGTGCAGGCTGTGTGGCCTCAGTTTCCCCATTTCCAGGCCAGGAGAAGACGTTTGCTTGGTGAGCTGGGAGACGAATGTGAGCACTTTCTGTGTGTTAACCTGCAGTAAGAGGCAGGGTGCGAGTACCAGCTGCAGTATTGTTGTCAGGTACAAATTGCTCCTGGTTTGTGGGCATTTGTTTGGGGTACAGACAATCTGTGCTTTTATCATGGCCACTTCTGTAGAATCGACACAGAAGCGGCAGCCCCTCACTAGTGAAAGCCAGACCTTCTGCCTTTTCTCTGCTTAGAGACCACGAGCAGCCTCTTCCCTCATGGGCTGGCCCTCGGCAGTGGGCACGCTGTCCCATGCCCCCGGAGGTACCTGCACCGGGGGTATCAGCAGCGTGTCCAGGAGCAGGCTGCCACAGGAGGATGAATTGGTGCTGATGGTGCAATAAAGCCTGTGGAAGGGGCACAACTGCCTGTTCTGTCCTTCCTCGTTAGTCCACTGCAGACAGGGGAGCACCTCGAGTCGTGTCCTGGGATGAGACATTGCGTCATGTGTCCTGGGAAGCCCTCGTGTCATGTGTGTGTTTTTGACCCTTGCAGGAGACATGAATGGGAGAAACACGGAACCTGTGCCGCCCAGCTGGAGGTCCTCAGCTCCGAGAAGAAGTACTTCGGCAAAAGCCTAGAGCTCTATCAACAGATGGACCTCAACAAGTAGGTTGTGTGGCGTGTGCCCTGCTGCCTCCCGCAGACAGGCCAAGATGGTGCGGGGGAGAAACATCAGGGCACTGAGGAAGAGGGGTCTTGCCCAAGAAAGCATTTGTAGGGCCCTTTCCTCACTGCTCCGGGTCAGGAGCCCCCCTAGACCCACCCCCTGCCATCAGTCCATTTCGACTCTTAGCGGCCCTACAGAACTGTCCCCACAAAGTAGATCCTACAGGAGCAGAAAGCCACAGTGTTCTGCATAGCCATTGGTGGGTTTGAACCACTGACCTTGTGGTGAGCAGTCTAGTGCTGAGTGCAGTGCACCACAAGGGCACCTTTGAGCATGCCCAGCAGACTGGACAGCTGACCACCTCTCTCGGTAAACCAGTCGCCCTGAGGACTGTGTTTTCTCTTGAGGTTTTCCAGGAATAGGACACCAGATCTTTCTTCCTGGGCATCTCAGGTAGACCTGAACCTCCAACTTTTTGGCTATAACTGAGTGCATTAGCTATCAGCATTACCCCGGTCTCCACCTCTCTGAGCGCTAATTTACAACCAAACATCAAGTCACCTTCGGACAGTGACAATTCAGAAAAGGCTTTCCTTTCTGAAGCAGAAATGCTGACAAGCATGCTGCCTATAGCGAATGTCTCCAGAGACTGCAGATCTGACAGTCTTTTGATCTCTGTGTGATGCTTCCAGAGAAAGCAGTTAAGTGGGGTGCAGCCTGGCGCCTGGAAATTACCCGAACCAGCGTGCACTTGTCCTCTTCCCCCTCAGCGCGCCGTGAGGTTAACAGCGGGTTTCACAGACTCCATGCCCATAAAAAAAACCCTGCTTTGTATTTGCTGTGTGGTAATGAGCAAACATCAGATGAGCTATGAGGTGACATTAAAGACATCCATCGTTCATGAAAAAAGCAAAAGGTCATTAAAAAGAAAAGAAAAAACAAAAATGGGTGTCGGAAGAGACTTTGAAACTTGCTCCTGAGTGTAGAGAAGCTAACAAGACTGGAGGAAATGAGCCAGTGAGAGTGGAACAGAGGATTTCATAGGACAGCTCGACGAGTAAGCATGGTGCAAGTCAAAGAACATGATTACAAAACCCTACAAAATTTATGTCAAAATGGGAAGCTAGCAGTTCTCGACATTGAGGTTCGTATACATCTGAAGGCAGTGTTTCCATCTCTCTTTGTGGCACTGTAGGATCAGCACTGGACTGCAGACCGCAAGGTCGGTGGTTCAAACCCACTAGCTGCTCCTTGGAAGCCTTATACAGGGTCACTGTGAGTCGGCAGCAACTTGACTGCACTTCCCAGCAGCAGGAAGCCTTCCCTAAGGAATCCTGTGCTCTTTAGTTTGGTGGTTATGTGCTGTGTCATTGGAACCACCTCACAGTGACCCTGTACAGGGTTTCTGAGGCTGTAAATCTTTACGGGAGCAGAAAGCCTTATTTTTCTCCTACAGAACAGCTGGTAGTTTCAAACTGCTGACCTTAAGGTTCGCAGCCCGATTCATAACCATTACGCTACCAGAGCTCCCAATGAGAACTTTAGTTTAGATCTCATTAAAAGAGCAGTCTGGGCAGCCTCCAGGGACTCAAATCTGTTTCTTTTCAATCTGTTTTGAGTTTGGGGAAGAAAAAGAAGCCTGAAGGGGTAAGATCAGGGTTCTCGGATGGATGGGGTTGGGTTTCTCAATGACATTTTCCTAGGACAGTGATGCTGCCTTCCAAGGATACCCAGCTGCATGGTCCAGATGGAACAAATTTCTCAGCAACTTCTTGTCTTACAAATACAGCTTCCCGTTGTCTTAAGGCTTTTTCCCAGTAAGCCCCCATGTTCGTCCTATAAGATGAACCCTGTAATGATCCCCAAACAGTCTCCTTAGCCCTCTGAGCTGACCTCTCTACCTAGAATTTGAGGACCCAACACATCCCCTCAAAAGCCACAGCTGTGATTGTGCCTTGTTTATAAAGTCACCGTAACGAGACTAAAGCTAAGTCTGCAGCCATCCACTGATCTCAGAGCGGGTTAAACACACTTTGTTTGGAATAAATCCCCATGAGTATGCTCTGGAACCCTAATCTCAATACTTTCTGACTTATCCTGGTATTATGAAATGTACAAAGGACTGAACTTAGAAAATCCAAAGGGAAGAACATACTGTGCAATTTTCAAGCTGAAAGAACTAAAAAAAAAAAAGGAATCAGGCCTTGATTTGTGATACTGAATGATGCAGAAAGCTTCAAAAGAAGGTGGAAGGAGTCCACAGTCCCTGCACCAAATACAGTTGATGTTCCACCGTTTCAAGAGGTAGCATAGGATCCAGATCCAATGGTACTGAAGGAAGATGTCCGAGTATACTAAAGGCATTGGCAAAAAGCAGGGCTCCAGGAATGGGCACATTAACAACTGAGATGTTTCAACACATTGATGTAGCACTGGAGGCACTCACTCATCTATGCCAAGGAATTTGCAAGACAGCTACCTGGTCACTGATTGGAAGAGATCCATGTTTGTGCCCATTCCAGACAGGTAACCCAACAGAATATAGAAATTATCAAACAATTTCATTAACATCCCATGTAAGTAATGTTTTGCTCAAGATAACTACAAAATGCTGGCAGCGGTACATCAACAGGAAGCCGCCTGAAATTCAAGCCACATTTTCAGAAGAGGACGTGGAATTAGGGATGTCAGATAGATCTTAGGTGAAAACAGAGAATCTCAGAAAGATTGTATACCTGTGCTTTGCTGACTACGCAAAGGCCTCCGATTGGGTATGTGATGACAAGCTATGGACAACATTGTGAAGAATGGAAATTCTAGAACACTTAAGTGTGCTCATGAGAAATCTGTACATAGACCAAGAGGCAGTCATTCGAACAGAACAAGGGGACACTGAATGTTTTAAGATCAAGAAAAATGTGCCAAGGTAGTACCCTTTCACCTTACATACTTAATCTGTATGCTGAGCAAATAACTTGAGAAGTTGAACTATATGAAGGAAAATCGTGGCATCAGGATTAGAAGGAGACATGTTAACAACCTGATCTATGCAGATGATGCAACTTTGCTTGTGTGTGGCTGTGAGAGTGTGTGTGTTTGTGTCTGAGAAAGTGAGTGTGAGAGACCGTGAGTATGTGTGTGTTTGGGTAAAGTTGCTGAGATTCACAGGTACAAATAGGGACCTTGGTAAACGTGTACCGCATCATGGACACCTAATTATTGGTAATACACACTACCTTTAGTGTCGTAGCACAGACGTGCGTATGTGTGTGTTTGGGTAAAGTTATTGAGGTTCATAAAATACAAATGGGGATGCTTGGTAAACGTGTACCACATCATGGACACCTAATTATTGGTAATACACATTACCTCTAGTGCTGTAACACATACGCTTATATGTAATGTCTCAGTCCCTGCCCCCCCAGACAAAGATCAGATTTACAAAGATGCTGATGATGAAAGACAACAATAATGAAAACTAAAATGGTAAAACACGAGGTATCTAATTTATGATGGATTCATGGGAACAGAACTTTCGTTAAGTCGGGGACTACCTTTTGATCGATTGATCAATTGATTTTAAGGAATTTCTCATGGGATTATGGGAGTTGGCATGTCCAAAATCCATAGGGCAGACTGGGCTGGAAGCTCCAGCAGAATATATGAAGGGGAGAAAAGTTTGTGGAAAAACGGAATGAAAAGATGATGGAATTTTTTTTAATTTTTAAATTTTAAATTTAAAAAAAATTTTAAATTTCAAACTTTTTTAAAAACTTTTTTTTATCATGACTTGGGTGAAGGTTTACAGATGAGATCATCAGCTCGACATTCAAAAAACCCCACACCTGGTTTCATCTCAGTGATTGCAGTCCCCTCCCTGCAACACCAATCCATCCCACTTCCTTCCTGGGTCTCCCCATTTACATCTTCGATTTCACAAGCGAACAAGGAAAAAGTATTTGATGTACACTTACAAGACAAAAAGATATCTATTCAGTTAAATGTCCAGGGCCCATTCTGCCGGCCAGCCTCCTGCCCGCAGGCACACAGCCACCGTCTCTGCTGCCTCTGCTTTTCTAGCTGGAATCTCACCATCAGCTCTTGCTCTTCCTTCTTGGTGGTCCTGGATCCTCTGTTCCCGCAATGAAAGATCACCTGCTCCCTCCTTTTAGTTACATATATTATATTATACAATTACAGTTGTGACGATCACGGTTAATCTTGCCCACAATTATTCACAACTGAATCATAAAATCCTATCGCTGTTGTGTCCCCCACCCCCTTTTCGCCAGATCTGTCTGGAAAGAGGGAAACTATTCAGAGGGGATTCTACCTTCTCCCCCTGCCCTCCCGTCCCACGCTGCAACTAAGTGTTCCCATGAAAGCTCCCACAAACGTTTTGGAGCCCTGTTATCTTTTCATTCCATTTTCTACAAACTTTTTGAAGCCCCCTCACATAGTTTGAGGCTACCTCCTCAGTACAGAAGCCTGATTTTGCTCTTTAGACCTTCAGCTTTCTGATGAGATCCATCCACATTATGGGGGGCTGTCTCCTTAGAGTCAACAGATTTAAAGGTTGTTCAGAAGTGCTGTCGAGTTGGTAGCGACCCTGTATGACACTTCCGAGAGGCAGCTGGAGGGTTTGAACCATCAACCTTGTGGCTCAAACCCACTTTGCGGTCCAGTGCCACACCAGGACTCTAATTTAAAAGGTAATCCCATTTAAATGCCTTCACAGCAACATGGAAATCCGTGTTTGACCAAGCGGCTGGGTACCACAACCAGGCCAGGCTGACAGATAACGTAAATCCTGAAAGCACTGCACATGGTTGTAAAGTGCCGTCGCGTCAGTTCCAACTCATAGCGACCTTGTATGGGGTTTCCGAGGAGCGGCTGGTGAGTTTGAACCACCGACCTTGTGGTTAGCAGTCTGGTGTTTATCTTACAGGGCCACATTAGGCCTCCACACCACATTGGTGTTGGGAATGTTTAATGCGAGAGTGTTTCACACTGTACCCCATCATGAAGTAAAGGCTTGGGGGCCACACAGCACATTAACAACAACAACAGTCCTAGATTGTCTCCTGAGCATTAGGACCCCAAGTGTGAGGAAATACTTCAAGGCTACATGTACAAGGGGCTTCAGAACCTTTGAATGGTGGATGGAATGAAAAGATTGTGGGATTTTCCACACGTTTGTGAAGTCCCCTTGTAGTTAAAGGACTTACAGGTTTGAGAAGATGCCTTTTTCTAGGGTCAGCCTAGAATCAAAGCAGTTACAGGGCGTAGACGGTCATGTGGGGGTGACTGCCATTGGCTGTACCCTATGGATCACTGTTCCCGGAGTCCACTGCAGCGTGAAGTCCCGCGTGCTAAGGGGGTTGGCGGGGCTACTGCTGCCCGAGTGCCGCTTACCTGCTTGCTGTCCTTGACTGGAGCTGTGCTGACCGACGTAACGGGGAGGAAAACATGACCGTTATATGGGGCTTGGTGGTTCAGTGGGTAAGCACCGGCGGCTAACTGAAAGGTTACAGGTTCAAACACACCCAGCTGCTTCACGGGAGAGAGCCCCGGAGATCCGCTCCCTTCATAAAGATTTACCACTGTGGAGACCCTGTGGGAGGGTCTCCTTGGCCCTACAGGGCCGCCATGACCTTGGGATTGGTTTGACGACCCCGACTGACAACAAGAATGTGTTGCTGAAGACAAACAAGAAAGGAGAAGGAAGCTTCATTATGCGGCTAATTTTTGTTTTTTATTTAAACTTCAGTATGCTCCGGAAGTTGGGGATAAAGCCATCCATCAATTACTACCAGGTAAGCCCTGCTGTCAGCCGCTACACGAGGGACCTTCTGCTGTGAGCTGAGCACCATCAGAGCCTGCGGCCCCACACTCCTCTTGGGGGTCCCACGAAGTGATTGGCATCAACTGTGTCTCCTTGTCTGAGAACACACGTGGGCCCACACACATTGGCTGGGAGCGCAGGTGGAGGTTTGGATGGGAAGTGTGGGCCGCAGGTTGTTGGGGAACAGGTGGAGGTGCAGCGGAACGAGGCCTCGCAGATGGGTTAGCTGGCAGGTCACCGTGTGGGGAGGTGCGTGGACAGGGCCCGGGACAGGAGCCACACCTGCAGGAAGCTGCTGGATGGAGCGGCCTCCAGTCATCTTACCTGCTGGGTGGGCGAGGGTGCCTTGTGGACCATGTAAGCAGACTGGCAGCTGTTGGGCTTTGTGGGGGGGCAGCATTTCTAACGCTCACCACGGACTTTAGATCGCAGATATCAAAGACGCCCTGGCCAGCATCTACGGAGTTATGCCCAAAGTCCAGTGCCTTCCACCAACACAGGTGAGGCCCCTCGTCTTCCCAGGGACCAAGTGAACTTGCTCCACAAATTGGGGTTCACTGTAGACCCCCAGGAGCTGAGTTGCATCTGTGTGTGTGTGTGCAACGTATGACTGATGTGTGCAGAGAGTAAAGATGAGTGTGTGTGTCAGGGTGAGTGTGGAGGATGTGTGGGTGTGGTGGATGTGGGTGTGATGTGTGTAGGTGTTTTCTGTGTGGGTGTGAATGTGAGCCTGGTGTGTGTGATGTGTGTACAGAGTGTGTTTGGGGGTGTGTGGGTGTGAATGTGGGTGTTCTCTGTGTATGCGGTATGTGTGTGGGTATGGTGTGTGTGTTGTCTGTGGGTGTGAATGTAGGTGTTGTCTATGGGTGCGGTGTATGTGTGAGTGTGGTTTGTGTGTGGGTGTTTGTGTAAGTGTATGTGTGGGTGTGATGTGGGTGTAGTTTATGTGTGGGGGGGTGGACGTGAACGTGGCTGTTATGTGTTTGTGGGGGGGGTGTGAACGTGGGCCTGGTGTGTGTGAGTGGTGTGTGTGGGGTGCGTGACTGGGGTGAGGGAATGTCTGGTGTGTACGTGTGTGGGTGTGAGTGTGAGCTGTTTGTGTAACTGTGTGTTTAGAAGGTAGGTTCTGCTTTGACACTACCTCAGGACAGAATTTGTTTTCCCCCTTTTTCCTAATAAGAACTTCCCAATGTTCTAGAATGGAGGCGGAGGAAGGACAAGGCGGGAAGGGGGAATGCTGTTTAGTCAACAATTTGTAACTGTGAAAATTAAGTTTTCTCTTTATGTTCTGAATAATTTAGACAAAACCGTAGTTTCTTTTGCCAGATGATAAAGACATAAATTCTTTAACAGTGGGGTCCATTTTTCATACCCTGTTGTGGCGCTGTGGGATAAAGCACTGGTTTACAAAGTTGCTTTGAACCACAAGGTCGGCGGTTCAAGCTCACCAGCTGCTCCTTGGAAACACTTAGCAACAACAACAACAACAACAACAATAGACTGAAATATATTGTAGTGATTTGCTAGGGCGGCCATATAGAGAGTACCGTCAAGAGGGTGGCTGTCCAACCAGGGATTGACGGTTCTGGAGGTTAGAAACCCGAACTCCGCGTGTTCGCTGACCCACGCTTCTCCCACGGCTCTGGCGGATGACCCTTTCTCCCAGCATCTAGGGCCTCAGGTGTCCTTGGGTTACAGCAGCCCACTCCAGCCTCTGTCTCCCCCCACAGACGCCCTCTGTGCCTCATCTCTTTATAAGCACCCCCGAGAATGTCTTCAGAGACCCTGGTTTCTTACATGGTCATCGTCACAGATACCGGGAGGTCAGGACGTAGCACATGTTTTTTGGGGGGAACAGTTCAGTTCCTGTGTGTCTGTGTGTGGATACACATGCTTCATTTTACACTGACAGCTGCCTGTCTTCACACACGGCCCCGGTGGGTAAGCTGCACCCCGCCTCTCACAGGGGGTCCGTTGATGTCTGTCACATTCTTCTCCTCTCACAGAGACCGTGTGTGTTGCAGAATAGGGTTTGCTAGACTGTCCTCTATAGAAAGAGATCGCCAGGTCAGACCACACCAACCTTTGGGTCCACAGCTGAGTGCTTAACTGTTGTGCCACCAAGGCTTTGGTTGGAGTTGCTGCATTTGTTAAATAACCGAAGTCCGAATCCAGACTCACTGCCTTGGATTCAAACCGGACTCATAGCAAGGGGGTAGAACTGCCCCAGCGATTTTCCGAGGCTTAATGAAAGCAGACGGCTTCATCATTCTCCCAAGGAGTGGCTGCTGGGTTTGAACTGCCAACCTTATGGTTAGCTACCCAGTGCTTGTACCACTGCATTACCAGTGCCCCATCTCTTCAGGGACATACATTTGGTCTGAGAATCTGGAATCCGTGCCTGGTGGCCTCCCTCTGGTAACCTCCAGGTCCCAGGCTTCACATGCTAACCCCAAACCCGTCCTGTCTCTCTTTTGGTCCCTAGGATGAGAAAGTACAGACCATCGGCCAGATAGAATTGTGTCTTACAAAGGACCTGGTGCTACGGAACTGCACTGAGCCCGGACACTCGGCCTCCCTCAAGCCAAAGGCCACATGGACAGGTGTGGTCAGCCTGGAGGTCTGTGAGGATGGCCCCGTGTTCTACCCCCCACCCAGAGAGACCACACGGAAACCCCCTGAGCTTTGAAAAGCAAGAGAAAGAATTGTACCAGCCACAGCTTTCTTCAAAACCCTGCCTGTTTTTCTCTCACGGACACAAGCCTTTCTCTTGTGTTCTTTTCATTTCCGAGTGTGTGTGCTGATTTGCGGGGGCTCATGTAAACACGGCTGAACGCCGAGGTGCTGAGAGCTGTGGAGCTGGCTCGTGGTGACAATAAAGCTGCAGATGGTCTGGCTGCTGGCCTGAGCTCCTTGTCTCCTCCACAGGAGACAGCAGGCGACCTTGTGTTGGTCAGGCGCCTGGATCAGACTCAACGCACTCCACAGGCATGTTGAGGGGGACAGTCCCCCTGTCATCCTCATCACCAAATGGCCTGGCTGGAGCCCTGTCCTTTTGGCCCTGCGGTGTCGGCAGGCAGGGAGAAGTGTTGGGGGAGGGCTGGGTCGGCTTCCCACCATGTTGTCTAGATGTGTGCACGGCTTCGAAGGGACTTTGTGGCCCTTTTCTAGGAGCGATGTGGACTGCACGGTCGGCTGGCAGCTGGGCCCCAGGTGAGCCAGAAGCCAATGGTAAAGCAGCCTCACTCCGCGGGCCTGCCGGGGACCCGGGCTCCTGGTCAGTCTCCAAAGCACTGTCCTCACTGCCCCCTGCCTGTGCCTTGGAGGCCCCCTTCCCCTGCAGTGTAGACCCTCCTTCCCTGTGAGGCACCAGGGCTGGTGAACAGGAGAAAACAACCGTACCTACTGCAGCCGGGTTCTCTGATTGTAAGGAGGACTAGCAGTCTACCGTCAGGTCCGTCAACAGCCAGCTGGACCCTACCCCAATCCCACTGTGGGGGCTCACAGCGACAACCATGCTGTGCAAGATGAGTCTTCCCAGGTGTAATTCCAACAGCCTTTTACCATCGCCGTCCTGGTGGTGCAAGAGGTTAAGCATCGGGCTGCCAACTGCAAGGTCATCGGTTCAAACCCACCAGCCACTGCGCTGTAGAAAGATGAGGCTGGGTGTTCACAGTCTCAGAAATCCTAGGGAGCAGTTCTCAGCTGTTCTGTGGGGCCTCTGTCGGAAGCCACTTGACAGCAGTAGGCGTCGTTTCGGTTTACCGTCCTCTTCTCTGAGCTCTGGTAACATAGTGGTTTTGAATAGGGCTGCGAACCGCAAGGTCAGCAGTTCGAAACTACCAGCTGCTCCAAGGGAGAAAGATGAGGTGTTCTGCTCCCGTAAAGATTTACAGTCTCAGAAACTCTGCACAGGGTCGCTATGGGTCGGAACCGACTCCACGGCACATAACCAACCAAATCTCTGTGGCCTCTGTCCATTTTAATGCTTTTTAGGTATGATGTGGACCACAAAGTCAGTTTGAGCCACAAGGTTGGTGATTTCAAATCTTAACCACAAGAAGAGTCAGAACCGACTCGATGGCACTTACTCACAAGAAGACGTTCAAATTGAATCCATCTGTGTGTCTTCAAGGTGAGCTTATTCTGTGTATTTTATTTAAATACTTTAGATGGAACTGGTCTTGGGCCCATTGTGTTAAGTACGTTACAAATAGAAAAGTATGTAATCCTCAGAACCATATTTTCAGAATAATTTTATCTTAAAAAAATTCTTTAGGGACAAATATTGTCCCTAAAAGGTTTACACCCAGGAGAACTCATTCTTTGGTGGTTAACAGAGATAACAAGAGGAGGTCGGAAAACTCACTAAGTAGAGCTGTTGGTGTGAAGTGCCGGTGAGTTGGTTCCGACTAAGGCGTCCTTGCGGTTCAAACCGTCTTTGCAGACCAGCGCATTAACCCGCAGCGCCACACCAGAGAGCTGTCAGGCGCCACCAAGTCAGTCCCAGGTCAGCAACATCTGCACAGCAAGGTCACCACTGCCTAGTCCTGCAACCTAACATCATCCTCACAATCGCTAAACCTGAGCTCTTGGGAGCTACCACTGTGTCAATCCATCTCACCGCTGGTCTCCCTCGTTTTCACTGACCCTCCATTTCACTAAGCATGATGTCCTTCTCCAGGGACGAGTCCCTCCTGACAACATGTCCAAAGTAGGAGGGATGCAGGCTCACCATCTTCACTTCTAAGGAGCAGAAACTCAGGCTGCACTTCAACACAGATTTCTTCTGGCAGCCCATGGTACGTTCAGTAATTCTTCGTCAATACCACAGTTCAAATGTATCGATTCTTCTATGGTCTGCGGTATTCATTGTCCAGTTTTCAGAGGCATATAAGGCAATTGAAAACACCACGACTTGAGCAAATAAATGCCTTAGCCTCAAAGTGACATCTTTGCTCTTTAATGCCTCAGAGATTCACCTGATGCAATATGTTGTTTGATTTCCTGACTGCAGCTTCCATGAGCACTGATCGTGGATTCAAGCAAAATGAACTCTTTGACACTTCTATCTTTTCTCCGTTTATCATAATGTTATTTATTGGTTCAGTGTGAGGAATTTTATTTTCTTAACATTGAAGTACAATCCACACTGGAGTCTTTGATCTCCATTAGTAAGTATTGAAGTCCTCTTCACTTTCAGCAAGCAAGGTTATATCTGCATATCGCAAGTTGTTCATGAGTCTTCCTTCAATCCTGATGCCACCTTTTTCTTCTTATAACCCAGCTCCTCAGACTGTTTGCTCAGCACGCAGATTGAGTAAATCTGGTGAAAGAATACAATTAGAGTAGACGTGTCTGAACTTGGGTGAATGGAAGGGCAGTGTACAGTTAAGGGGAGGGGGATCAGCACAACAAGACCAGAAGACTGGAAGACCCTGGGAGGCAACAACTGTTACAGACGACAAGGGTTAATACTGTATACACAATCCTGCAGTAGCTAATAAAGAATAAAGTCATGAATATGTAAGCCGAACAGGAGTGGGATGGCATATGGAAATATACCTACAGCATTTTTTGTTTGACAGGATAGTTCTACATACATGTTTATGCTGCAAATACATCCATGCATGTAGTAGAGCATGCAGGGGGCAAAGATACGCAAACTGCTAAGCCATGAGGAATTGGGTGACTGGGCTTGAGGGCTTAGAACCATAGTTTAGGGGGACATCTAGGTCACCTGACATAACAGTCCACAAAGACTGTTCTACATGAGCAGTGACCGTGAGCATTTGTTAATGACCATCTAAGATACAAAGAGGATGAAGAAAGTCAAAGACCCTAGGAGACTGTGAGTCCAGGGCACTAAGGAAGCAGGTGAACCACAGCCTCCACGAGCCGAAGACCGGGAGAACTGGATGGTGTCCAACTGGGGACCTCACTAATCGGGATCACAATAGCAGGTTCCAGAAAGAGTGGGAGAATATGCAGACCAAACTCAATGAGAAAAGACCCGACTTTCTGGCCTAATGGAGACTGGTGGACCCCGAGATAAGGGCCCTTAGACACCCACCAAGCCTGGAACTGCGGTTATGCACGTGGCTCAGCTTTCAGCCACACATCAGGCAGGCCTAAGAAGTGAAGAATGACAACCATGAGGAGTGTGCTGCTTAGAAACAGGCCGACCAGTGAGACCACAAGGGACACACTTGTCTCAGAACAGAGCTCAGAAGATGGAAAGGGGCGGGAGGAAGGGTTGGGAAATGGGGAACCCAGGGAGGAAGGGTTGTTACATTGTGAGGACCATAACCAATGTCCCTGAAACAAATGTAAACATTGTGGAGTGGAAGACTGATTTGTTCTGTAAACTTGCTCCCAAACCATAATAAAATGTTCAACAGACAAAACCAAAGCACCCAGTGTAGAGCGCAGTTCTACTCTGACATGCAGAGGGACACCATGAGTCAGAACGGGCTCAATGGCTCATTCAAATCGAATGATTTGGAATGGTGATTAGCATTTCCGTTTTCATGCTTGGTACAACGGATTCTAACAGCACAGAAAAATTAGCAGTGTTTTGTCATTTCACCCTGCAACTTGCATCTCTGAAGCCCGTTGGAGCCTGCTGTCAGCTTACCTTGTTCTGGTAGTCCCTAACACCAACTGTACCAGGTGACTGACCACAACAAATGCTTGTCCCGTTAGCTCTGGAGGCCAGAAGTCTGAAGTCAAGGAGTGGATAGGGCCAGGCCCTTTGGAACATACTGAGGGAGACTTTTGGACTTCCTCCCTGGACTCTGAGTAGCCAGCAATCCTGGGCATTTGCTGATTTGTAGACTCAGTACTCCGCTCTTGACCTCAGTCTCCTCTCCCCGTGGCCGTTTCCCTCTTCTGTGGGAGCATCCCACCAGTCATGGGATCAGGGCTTCCAGCCCAGTGAGACCTCATAACCATTGACCTGTGGTTCGCAGTCTAGCGCTAAATTGACATCGCCACACTAGAACTTCACTGACCTTGTTGTTGTTAGGAGCCACTGAGTCAGTACTGACTCATAGTGACCTTATGCACAACAGAAGGAAACACTGCCTGGTCCTGGGCCAACTTCACAATCATTGCCACACTTGAGCCCACTGATGCTACCACTTGGTCAATCCTTCTTGCTGGGGGTCTTCCTCTTCTTCTCTGACCCTCCACCTAACCAAACATATCCTTCTCCAGCGACTGGTCCCTCCTGACAATATGTCTGAAGTATGAGAGACGAAGTTTGGCCATCCTGGGCTCCAAGGAGCACTCTGGCTGCACTTCTTCTAATACGCATCTGTTTGGTTTCTTTTGGCAGTCCATGGAACTTTCAGTATTCTCCTCCAACACCACAACTCAAAGGCATCAATTCTTCTATGGTCTTCCTTATTCACTGCCCAACTTTCGCATCCATATGAGGTTATTGAAAATACCATGGCTTGGGTCGGGTGCACCCTAGTCCTCAAGGTGACATCTTTGTTCTTCAACACTTTAAAAAGGTATTAGTACACCAGATTTGCCTAATGCAATATGTTGTTTGTTTCTTGACTGTTGCTTCCATGAGTGTTGATGGTTGATCCAAGAAGAATGACGTCCTTGACAACAACTTCAATCTTTTCTCCATTGATAAGAATTTTGTTTATTTTTCCAGAGGTGAAGATTTTTGTT